TAACTCTGTCTCAGCTTAACCCAGGTCAATAAAGTAGTAGGAATTCTGAGTAAATCAAAATATCATCGGCATCAGTCCTTGACTGAAGAAAACTCAGATATGAGATCATGGAAGATCCCAATCAAGCCATAGAGTGGCTCTTGCAGTTGATCAGTGTAGTACAAACTGATCCATATGTACTTTCAAAGCTAGGGAAATTATATGATAAGGAAGGTGATAAATCCCAAGCTTTTCATTATTACTATGAGGTACTTGCTCTTTATTGCTTTTCCAATGCACTTTGTCATAATTAAAAGAAATTTTGCCACAGGTTCCAATAGCAAATTAACAGTTGATTCATTTAAACTTTTAAAAACGTAATTCAAAAAAGAAAAAAATATATATTTTGGGGGAAAGAGAGTTGACAAAATCTAATTTTTGTAGTCAGACCCTAAGGAAGCACATAGCCTGTGTTTCCACATGGTGTTTGACCTCAGACTTTAATTTTTCCTCTGGTCATTGTTTATATTGACCCATAACAATTTTACTTTAAAATGTAGTCTGAGATTAAATAAAAAATGGGTATAATAAATGTAATTTTAAACCGATGTAACATGGTTGCATTGATTGGAAGCTATATTTGTATAATGGATTTGGAGATACATACATATAATATGTGTTGATGTATGTGAGTTTATATATATATATATATACATTTTAATGGTGTAGCTACACATTATGTATACACAGTTTCTAAAGGTAGGCATCCTCTCTCATTTCAAACCAGTTACAGTTTGTAGAGATTCTTCTGTTTTAGAAGCAGGCATGAAACAGCATTAAGATAGGAAGTTGCATTGCTGCAATCTGATAGTTCTTTTTATCTGTGTAAAACGAGGATGACCAAAGGTGGTGTTGAAATCTGAATACTAGTGAAGTTGTGCTTGATGATAATTTTGCTGCCTGTTTCAGTGGGAATTTCTAAAAAGCTGAAAATGTTACTTACGCACATATGTATTTCATAGAAAATAATGCTTTTTAGTTAAGTCTTCCAGCAGAGTATGGAATTGTACATGTATTACTTAGCATTTTTTAATGTTTTAGGTAACTTATTCATATGTAGACATGATCTAAGTAAACATTTTTGCTGTTGTTAACTATTTAAAGTAATATTTCAAATAAGGCTAGACGGAAAATGTGACAGACTCAGGTAACTTTTAAAAAGCATTATATAATTAGAAAACTTGGCATGCTTTTTTTTTTTTTTTTCCAGGATTACTTAGTATAGCACACTACTTCCATTCATATATCACATATTTTTGGCATCTGGAGAATTAAACACTTGAGTAAGATATTCCAGAAGTAACATAAAGATGTTGTTTATCACTAAAATTGTGTTTCTTTCACCTTTCCTATTTTGTCAGTCATACCGGTACTTCCCTTCAAACATTGAGGTCATTGAATGGCTTGGAGCCTATTACATTGACACCCAGTTTTGTGAAAAAGCGATTGAGTACTTTGAAAGAGCAGCACTTATCCTGTAAGTAATTCTTATTTTATGCCTACTCAAATATTTTGTGATTAGATGTCCATAAGTATACCTAGAGATAAATTAGTCGTATAAGTTTAATACTATAAGCAAATACCAGTATTAAGAATATTTGGGATATTATTTAATTTTCTCAAGTTTGTGTTCATTTACAGTGTGGTTTTGCTCTTACTGTGCAATTTCAGTGTTAAGTAAGATCCTCCCTTGGGCCCAGGAACGTATTAGGTATTAGAATCTCTTTTCTCTGTCCTCTGCCTTTAAACACAACTATGAAGTGGGGAACAGCTCTCCTAAGCCATCAAGACCTTTTCTATTGCTTTATGTGAAATATTTCCTTTCTATTATTTTATCATGCTGTGAGGATTTAATGGTTTAGATAAATGCATCTTTTAGCAGTTTTTGCTGCATTTCCACTTTTCACCTAACTTCTACTCCCATAAAAAGGATATTGCAGATAAGGTATAGAAGTAAGCAAAACTGTGCAGTGCAGAATTATCAGTGGTCAGTGAAAATAAGCTGGCAGATCAAATTGATACTGATATAATTATATGAATATATTTGAAATATATTGATTTATCTCAGCAATGCAATTGCTGAAATGGTCTTTTAGCAGAATATGATGCACTTAAAGTATATGGGTCTTATATTTTATTTTAGATTAGGAATTGAGCTTACCAGAAAAATGGTTAATATACAAAAATTTGGTCAAATTTAAATCTGTAAACTAGAGTTCAAACAGAATTCTAAAAAAGACATGCATGTGGTCTTTTTATGTGGAAACAAGTGTTTTTCTATATGTTCCTGAAGAATTTTGTGTTAATAGACCAATTAAAATTATGCAACTAAAATTCACTGCATCACATGTGAATGTCTCTATTTTGTGTTTTGAGAAACCTATCAAAAATCAGGCTAAGCAAAAATAAAATTTGTACAATTTTATTCAAGGAAAGGTAATACTGAGCATAGGTTGTTAGAAGTTCAGTAAAAAATACTAATTCTCATATTGAAAGGGCTTGAGTTAGAGTAGACATTAATTATAGAAGAGAATATCTAAGGTTTAAATAAAGATTAAAAATTGAAACAAAAATAAGTAGAAAGGTGTAGACTTGACCCAAATTTTGTGGTATAATTATAAAGAAATAGAGATGTAGATTAGATGAAAATACACAGGAGACAGGCCACCTTAAAAAAATATTTTAATCAGGCTATGAGATCGTATGTGTTGGTGTTCATGGCCTTCTTAGAAACTTTGGAAAGAAACAGCTGAAACTAAAAGAATTATTTCATAATCTTGTTTTGGCAAAGATCTAAATATTTTATGTTTTTTTTTTCTTTCCATGCGTGAAACATGAAGTATGTGGATTGTAAAGTACTTATGAATAATTGGCAAATAAAATTCTTCACTATTATTGGTAACTGTAATCTATCTGTGAGACAGATAAATTATTTCTCTGTGGGATGAGGCTGTTAATAGTAGAAAACAGAACATAGATGTTTTGGTGTTCATTTGGTATTAAGAATACAGTCTAGATATGCTAGTTGTTAAATGTGAATGTTGGGTTAGAAATTGCTACTAATTGTAAATAAAGTTACATTTTAAAATGGTAACTTTATTTTAACCACGACCAGCATTTTTTAGTTTAACATTGTTTAATGTTACTCAGTGTCTTAATCTCAATAATTACATTTTAAATTGCATTCTAAGGTAACATATTAGATAATGAATTGAGAAACAGTTTTTTATCATTCTGCATTTTACCAGCATGCACAAATCTATCATTCATAAAAGGAGTTGTGCAGCTAATGCTGGCTGCTGTCAATTTAGTCTCTCTAGAATTTTCATACTGAACTGCGTAATAAACTTTATTATGGTGTCTGCTTGGCTGCCCTTATTGTTTGCAGGAAACATGTTCAGCTGAAACTAAAAAAGGTGAAGCAGCTGTCTTTCATAAGCTTGTTTGGCAACAACCAGACAAACATTATTTAGAGTTAAAAATGGCCTGTGCTGTGACTGGAGGGAAAAACTGAAGAGAATAAGTACAAAACTATTCTGAAAATGTTAGCATACAGTGCCTTTGGTTATGCTACTGTTGAATCGTAAGCCACATGTGAAAAGTACTTTGGCTTGCAGAGCATCCTTACACTGTTGACATGAAAATTTCCTAATTTTCACATTACCTTGATAAGAATAAGGAGAAGGTCTGGCAGTTTTGTCATACATTCTAAAACATGTCAAATATTTCTTCTGACAGTATCTATCACCATTATGTGCTAAAAAGAGGACAGGTAACAGCTAGGGCATTGAGGTGATGACACAGAGGAGAAGCCACAGTTCGAAGCTGTAAGTGGGAAGTGTGCTTTCTGGCAGAGCTCCCTTGGGCATGCTTGGGACCCTGTTGGTGGGACTTCCTCAGAATATAGTTTAGCATTTTTTTTCTCCTGCATTGCGTTCTGTACTTCAGACAAAGATTAGTGGTTCACATGTCAGATCTACTAATTGTGTCTGGTGCACAGAATAATGAGCAGGAGAAAGACTCTAACATAGGACTACAAATGAGTGACATCGAGGCCTGAACACAGGAGCATGACACAGGGGTAAACTGTGTATGGACTGAGCAGGCTAAATTCTTCCTAGGAAGGCAATATGCTAGGTGAAAAATTTTAAGAGTGCTTTAATAGTAGGTCTTTATCAGTGCTATGCAGATTATTTTGCCTATTCATTGTTTGGCACTGTGCATAATTTTATTTTATTTATATTCAGACCAACACAAGTAAAGTGGCAGCTGATGGTTGCCAGTTGCTACAGGAGAACTGGTAAGTTCTGTGACTTTTTTGTAATTGGTTGGAGTTTTGTAACTTTTTTTTTAATTAATTGGGGTTGTTCAGCCTGGAGAAGAGAAGCCTGGGGAATATATGAAGGGGTCTTATAAGAAAGATGGGGACAGACATTTTACCAGAGCCTGTAGTGACAGATTTAAACTGAAAGAGGGTAAGACTTACATTGGACATAAGGAACAAATATTGTACAGTGAAGGTGATGGGGCATTGGAACAGGTTGCCCAGAGAAACTGTGGATGCTCCATCACTGGAACGTTCAAGGTCAGGTTGGACAGGGCTTTGAGCAACCTGATCCCGTGAAAGATGTCCCTGCCCATGGCAGGGGAGTTGGTCTAGATGATCTTCAAAAGTCCCTTCCAACCCAAACCATTCTGTGATCCTATGATTCTATGATATTTTTAATTGATGTTTTGGGTTTTTTTTCCTTTTGATCTTTTCTGCCTGATGTGAATACTGGTCCTAAAGTTGATTTGGAAATTCAGTTATATATTATTTTGTTATGTAATAAAACATGACTTGTCTTTTAAGTCCAGGAAGTGTGCCTGTACTGGCTTATGCATGAAACACTCCTTGTGCTGTTAAATAAGTAAAATAAAGAAGATAGTACAGCATAAATGATCTGATAGAAGGTTTTTTAAATTTAGTTATGCTACCATCTGTTCTAACATAAATAATTAGATTTTAAAGTTGCTTAATTCCCATTCCTTTTCAACAGCAGATATATTTTTTCACTATTCAAATAGTATTTGCATTACACAAACAAAAGACAGTCTTAATGGGCTGTATTTTCTTACTGACAATATAATATGCCAGTAAGCAAAAGGGAAAGACTTCTGTCTTTCTGGGTTTTTTCATCACCTAAAATGCATTCAAGATGCTTGATGATGTAAATGATACTCTTCTTTCTTGCTGTCCCATTTTGACACTCTCCTTTATGCTTCTTTAGAACTTTGCAGAACAGACTTCCCTAATAAATAAGTGCATTTTCTCACTCTGCTCAGTTATTTAATACAACAGTGAGGAAAAGGAACAGGACCTAAGGAAGTCAGTGAATTAACAGTCAGCACCACCCAAAGCTAGACAGATTAACTGTTTTCCCAGGAAAGAAACACAATGGTTTTGGCTCCTTTTTAGATAGCTTATGATTAATTGGCAAAATTTCCAGCTTATTGTGTTAACACGTAGGAGGTCAGTTTGATCTCTACCTCGCACTAGGAAAATAAAAATAGTGATATCTCGACAAAGCTTTTTGTCAGATATTTTATGGATATGAGGTTTTAGATTCACAGGGTCTATCAGTCCTTTTTGTAATAATCAAGATGAGCCAAAATTGAAGGCAAAAGTCATAAAGAATAGTTACTTCACTACCAGATCTGGGCAAAGGAGATACACACAGTATTCTGATGGAAGGAGGGGTAATCGGAGCTCAACTGTTACACGTTTCTATTTGACCGATCCATACATTTGCAGCCTCAGATAAGCCCTGGTATGCTTGATACACCTTGTCTAGGAGATGTGTCATAGAACAATGGGGTCCTAGAGACAGGTCAAAAAAGGGCAAAAAATCAGGAAACTCCTCTTTATTAATTTTGTTATTTACAGAGTAATTTGGATGTTTTCAGATGTTCTTAATTTTTACTATCAGTAATTAAAGAATTGTCAAATGTGGTCTTATAATATTAAATCATGTACTCAAGCTAAAAAGATGAAGGGAAGTTAAACTGTAACAGTTTCTCATCAGATATTCTTTTTTATGTTTGGATATTTGGATAGGAGATGTTTGTTTTGTTTGCAGGTAACTACCAGAAAGCTCTTGAAAAATACAAAGTCATTCACAGAAAATTCCCAGAGAATGTTGAATGTAAGTTGTTTCATTGAGTGGTATAACTATCAAAGGAAACATTGTTACCTTGAATATGTGTGTTAGTGATTGTATGATGTAAATATTTTTCATATGAAAATGTTTTAATGAACTAATATTTTTATTCATGCTGGTGCTGCATGTTTTCTGTGGCAACACTAAATGTGTTTTAAGGAGTATTAGGGTAATGCTGAAGAAGAGAGATGAAAATAAACTTTAGCTATCATGAACTGATTGAGTTCTTTCTCATACATACTTCCTGAATTTTATAACTATGTTACTTACTTGATCTTTCTTATGATAAAATGTAAGTATTTTTACTTCTAGTCCCTGCTAGTTGAAACTCCTGCTGTAAGTTTCTAAGTATGAGAAAATCTTATTGTTAAGTTTTACCAAAGCCAGGCCTTCCAAAATAATGTAGAGGGTGAGGCTTTGTTGTTGGGTTTTTAAGTATAGTTGGCCAACCAGTCTCTGGAAAATCTGTAGAGAATTTCAAACTAAACTACAGAAAACATAACTTTGAAGAGTAAGACATTTTGCAGAATCAATCACACCTGTACTCTAAAAGAAGAAGCCCTGTAGAAAATAGGGGTTGTCACTGGTTGTGAAAGCATCCTCATATCCCACACTGTGCCTCAATTAATTCTGAAATACAAGGTTGCCATGCTTTCAAATGCTGTGTGGGAAGAACACTCACTGTATTTTAAAATAAAATTGTATCATTCTGCTTTAACAAACTTACTGCTTTTTTTAAAGAGGAATCATGCAGCTCTTCTGTACAAGAGAATTTCAATACTATGACTCTTCAAAGTTATAAACAAAAAGTCGTGTTCATATTGGTCACACATATTTCAGAGGCATAGAGCTTTTAGTAAACCTTTTAGGATGCTAATATTTTTCTGAATGTCATTTCTACAAAGTGGAAGCAGAAGCTAGACCAGACTATTAACCGATTTCAGACTTTCCTGTTTGACACTGTATCACAGAAAATGTTGAATTATTTGCAAAATATCACAATTTGTATAGTGATACTGGACTAGAGTCACCTGGTGTTCAGTTACTTGCGTTATTTGCCATACTGTATGTCCTGTTCTCTTAGGATGCACTTGTAGTTTGACCTGCTTGTAAGCCTTCTTTTAACAATGTTTTACTTTTCAATTAGGCCTCCGATTTTTAGTTCGTCTCTGCACAGATATGGGGCTAAAAGAAGTCCAGGAATATATGACAAAGCTCAAGAAAGTGGAAAAATTAAAAGAAATAAGAGAGCAGGTGAGCTTGTTTCCTTCTGTGGTTATACAGTATCACTACATATATAAATGAAGCTAAAATAATGTTTATGATACTTCAAGATCAAAAGTGTATTACAGATCAG